CCTCCTCCTCCTCCTCCTCCTCCTCCTCCTCCCCCTCCTCCCCCACCTTTCCTGTGAGAAATGTTTGTTTTACCCTCTCTTCCAGTCAGCGTTATCAACAAAAAAAGAAGAACCCTTCTTATCCAGGAGCATCCATGACAGAATGGCAGACAGCATTGAGTCCAAACATACACTATAGTACCTTTAAAAACTGATGGACCCTTATGGATTCTTTTCTTTTGTTGTTTTCCTTGCTTATAGGTATGGATGGATGCAGGCACTCAGATCTTCTTCTCATATGCCATTTGCCTGGGATGCCTAACAGCTTTGGGCAGCTACAATAAGTATCATAACAACTGTTACAGGTAACTGAATGTGCCTCTAGCATTTATAGTCCTTGTCCTCTTTGCTTGCTCCCTGTTTCTTAAATTTTCTACAACTCCTCTCCATAGCAGAAGCAGGATTGAAGAATTCCTACTTGCTTTCAAAATGCCATGATCTGTCCAATTCCCATCTCTTCGAACTGAGTTTTATTATTTCCCATTTCCCCCTGAAACTGCAAAATATAATACATGCTACTAGAAACATGGATTTGTCATAAATATATCTGTAACCTTTAGGATATATCACAAAACTCATATCCAACATTGCTCATTTGAGTATGCAATTATTATCTTTATTTATTTCATTTAATTGGTTAGGGAAGCCCCAATCCAGCAAATGATTTTGCATATTTACTTTTAAGAGGGTCCAGGTAATGTCAACATCCATTAAAGGATTTCTCCTTTTCAGAACTGGCTTGTCATAATCGTTAAATTTAATAGAGAATTGTATCTGGCCAATAAGGATTTTCAAAGTGTGACTGAATTTCTACAGGTGATTTAATAATTAGTTAAATTAGGTCATTTAATAATTAGTTAAAATTTAATAATTAGTTAAATTAGGGATGTAAACTAGATACATCCACCTGAACTCCTCAAGCAGGAAGGCAAGAAAAGCTGCAGGTCCTGTCTCCTAAGGAAATCTCCTAAGGAAGTACATCCTCCAGAACAGAGGTGGTATTCAACAGGTTCTGACCAGTTCTGGAGAACCGGTAGTGGAAATTTTGAGTAGTTCGGAGAACCGGCAAACGCCACCTCTGACTGGAGATTTTACAGTATCCTTCCCCTGCCACGCCCACCAAGCCACACCCACAGAACCGGTAGTAAAAAAAATTGAATCCCACCACTGACCCAGAAGAACCTTCTCCATGGTGGCTTCCTCCCTTTGGAACATCATCCCTGCAGGAATTAGACTACTCCCCACTTTGAAACTCTTTTATATGGTCCTGAAGACCTTTGTCCCAAAGGTGCTTTTCCAAAAAGCAACTGTTGAAAAGGGAAGGGACACAGGGCAGAAAACATCCTGCACAGCTCCACAACACAGTCATTTTAGCAGTTCCAAGAAGGCTCCACACCCATTTGTATTACTCAGGTGACCCCGAGGACACAGATAAACCCCCAAGTGACTGCAAATGGACAGCTGTCTGCAAGGAGTATAAATCCTTCCATCCCACACCATCCGGTCAGAACTGAAGAAGCTTCTTGGATGAGAAAAGCGAAACGTCTTCAAAGAAAAAAGCAGAAAGTCCAGTTGCCTCTTGAAAAAAGCACCTTTGGGAGAACCATAACCATAATCCTGAAGACTTGGTTGTGTCAAGGAGCCTGAAGAACCCAGAGTGGAAGGAAACCCATCAAGTGGCTTGCTTGATTGTGTTTTTACCGTTTTTCATTCTTTTATGTTTGTATTTTTAATTGTAACAATAAAAAGAGTCACTGTCAGTGGGCGGCCAAATAAATCTTCTAAGTAAATAACATTAAATAAATAAATAAATAAACCTGCCTCCTTGCAGCTGACTCTTTCATTGTTTTCTGTTTTCTGCAGCAACAATATTATCAATGCTTTAAGTACAAGCTGGGCACGGAACGATAACATAATGTAATTATTTAAAAATAAAACATTTCTTATACAATTATGGACTGTACCCTTTTATTAAATTTAAATTATTTGCAGTCCTAGGCAATCGTGGGCAATTAAAACTCTGCACCGCAGTGTGCAAATCTGAATAATTAAGATTTAAGATCTTATTCGTCACTAATTCTTTAGTCATGCATTAATTGAAAACAATTAAAAAAAAAAGAAGTGTAAAGGAAGATACAAATTGCCAGCAGTGTCCACAGGGGAGGCATCCCCATGCAAACCTAGCCCGTTTTGAACATGCATCATAGCACTGCTTGCCCTCACGAAGGAGGTGAAGGTTTCATTTGTGACATTGTGAGGCTGCTTTTATTAGTTTTATGGAAGCAGCAAAATCCTGCAGATACCTAATATATGTATTTGCAAAAGGCTTTTCTGAATGACATGAATTCTACTCAATAGGATAAATAATATTGTGCTGTATTAAAGGTCATGTGGAATCATTGCCAGTATAAATGAGAGCTCCAATGTTTATTTTTTAGTTGATTAATAATATTTTAATTAAGGAATTGTCCATAATAAACTTGGTAGCAGGTTTTCAAATAGGTTTATTTTTTCAGCCATAAGTCTCTTGAATGTGTGACAGATCCTTCCTTCCTTCCTTCCTTCCTTCCTTCCTTCCTTCCTTCCTTCCTTCCTTCCTTCCTTCCTTCCT